TTTTTTTTTTTTTTTGGTTTTTTTGGTAGCTCTCTTTCTTGGAATAATCTGTTTCTTTCTTATTTTGTTCTTCTTTCATTCTTTTGAAGAATACTCTGGCCTTCTCTATGGTGTTGAATTTGTAATTCCACTCTTGCCATGTCAGGGTATACCTTTGATAGTCTCCCATCTGTATTGCATTCCTTTCATTTGTAGATACTTGGTCAGGAAGTTGTTCATTAAACTCTGAGAAATTAGACTGAGTTCTGTAATATTCAATGCCTGTTCAATGTCAATATCTTATATGCACAAATCAGGGTTGTTATTCATTCAGTTCAATCAATTTTTTATCACAATTCTAGTTAATTTTTGAATCAAAACAATCAATTTCCTAACACAATATTCTCTCTACAAAACACACTTTTTATTAGCACTATATATAATATCTAAAAATCAAATAATCTTATATCTATCAATTAATTAAATAATTTCAGGTACTAAGTTCTAAACAGACTTTTTAAATTAATTTTTAACTATTTGCATTTCCCTGTATATTGTATGTAATTGTTCAATTAGCTATATTTTATTTCATTTAACCATTCAGTCAAACTTACTTCATTCATTTAAATCATAAACAAATTGCATTAATTCAAATTTCCATATTATATGAACAAAATCCTCATCACAGTTTCTGTTGTTTTTTCCTCCCAGTTAATAACAGTTGTATTAGAAACTGTTATTAATTGGGAGGAAAAAACAATAGAAATCACACCTCTTTTTTCACGAGGGATCCATCGTCATCATCCCCCGTGAAAAAGGAAAAATGCAAATATATCAAGCCCAATTGGCTTGAATGGAGGTGTGTGTCCACAGGGGAGAGCAAGTGCACGGCAAGGGCGCACACCCCATTTTGTGCCCTTCCATTCGTCCCTTGCAAATAAGCGAGGGTCGCGGATTTCAAGTCCGCAAGAACGGATAGATAACTGTATTTCTAAACAGTACAGTGTTGTTTGTCTTATAAACTCTATTGTAATAAAATCAGTATTCTTCACTTGTGTAAATCATCTGTTTTAAAAATTCATAGCTCAAGCTTTTACATAACAGTAACCTTCAAATTCAAATTCAATATCATATAAATAGTATCAATCAATGTAATTTCATTCCTAGCATTATATTATCAGAACTAGATTATCTCAAATCCTGCAGCTTATAGTACTTGTTAAACAAAAGGGAAACAAAAATAGCCTTTTCGTCTTCCTCCCTGCCACCTTTCTCTCCATTAGTTTCCCTTTCGTGTCTCATACTTATTCTTCTACTTTCTCTCAGATGTCAAAGTACTGTAAATAAATCTGTGATCCTGTAATCTTTTAGCCCTTAACAGTTATTTTACAGTCTATGATCTGCCAGATTCTCCAAAAAAAAAGTTTATATAGAACAAATTATCAAATTTTTAAAATGTTTCAGTTTCTTCCAAAACAGTTTTGGGCAAGTTCATTAGTAATCCAAGTTCTGTTTGTTTTATAATCCAGTTTTATAATACAGAATTTATTGTGTATTTATTCAATCTACCAAATTATCTCAGTCGCATTACTAGTATCAGTTGATTTCTCTGTCTTTCAGTCTCAGTTTCTCTTGTATTATATTATATTGTAGTTCTCCATATGTCCATGCAGTCTTGTCCGCCATTAAAATCACCAGACTTCAGTCTCCTTTTATCCTTTCCAAATCGAAATCAATCCTCAGGAATCGTCCTTTCAAAGTCTTATCAGCTGTAACTCTCCAAAAAAGTACCAAGTATCCAGTTATTTAATTGCTTTCATTAATAATGGAGCCTTAAAATTTCTCTTAGATCTGTAAACAATATGTTCCTCTTCGTCTCCTGTCTCTCCTCCCCTCTTTCGCTTTGTCTTCCTCTAGTTTGGGTTCTTTCTCTAAGTTTGTCTCCCATGCAAATCTAAGTCTCTGAATTCTTGGACAGTTGTTAGAATCGAAGGACTTCAAAGCGAGGACATTTTCTTTTAATTATATATATCTTTTTGCTTCTTTGATGCTAAAAAGAAGTGGTACTGACTGAGTTTCACTGGTCTCCAGTCTCCAGCTGGTCCCAGCCCCAAGCTGTGGCTGCAACTTTGCTCACGTTCTAGACAGTCCTGTTTGTGCCAGTCTCTTCTCTCTCCACTTTCACTCTGACGCTAGGGCTGCAATTGACCTCCGTGAGCTCGTTTGGGTCCCCTTTATTGGGGGGACTCTATATGCCAATTTGGGGTCTCCCCCTTCTCAGCAAACTGCTGTAGATAGGACAGTTCATTGCCAAACTGTGATCACTCAGCAATCTTACCGGAAGTTCCAGTTGTTGTTGTTGTTGTTGTCATTGTTTTTGTTACTGTGTGCATTCGAGTAAGTTTTAACTTAAGGAAACCCTAATGTGCACCTATTGTGTTTTCTGGGGCTGAGCGTGTGAGATTCACCCAAGGTCATCCAGTAGATTTCCATGGCTGAGCAGGGAATCAGACCCTGGTCTCCAGAGTCATAGTCCAACATTCAAACCACTATACCACACTGGCCCTCTTGCATGTTCTTTATCTTGGTGTATTTTGATGGCAGGTATTTCTGGGGTAATTATTTATTTTTAAATACATACAGCATTCTAGTCTGGAATCATAAGTGCAGGGATCGCCTTATCTCTGGAAGAAAATTGAGCTGCTAGAGGTGCTTCAGGAATCAGTTATTGCAATGATTAATAAACTGTGGTTGGAATCTCATAATTTTTTTAATTTTATATTTCACACTATTGTTGTTGATTCTTTAGGAGAAAGATGCAATGATGACTCCTATTCCATTTGCAAGACCTCAAGATTTAGGCCCATCAATTGCTATTGTAGCAAAAGTTAATCAGATTCAAGATCATTTGCTGAAGAAGCATGATATCGAGCTTTACATGCATTTGAACAGACTAGAAATTGCACCACAGATTTATGGGCTGTAAGTATTTTTTATTTATTTTATGTAGGGTGGTATAATTAAATGACGACAAGCCTTGCTATGTTATTGTATAAATTTGACATGGTACTTTTCCTCCTTAAGTCCTGTTTTTTTAAGGACAGGATATAAATCCAATAAATAAATACACAGTTAATACTCTCCTGCCCTATGTAGGTTTCTAGATATAGAGTTTAGGACTCATTCCCTCAGAGTTGTCCATGAATCAGAGATTATAAAACAAACAAAAAACAGAGAAGCTAATTTCTTCATACTTCTGTTTTCTGGCTTTTTATAAGAAAATATAGAAGCTGTAGTTGTTCAACAAGGCCATAATACAGCAAGAATAAGAATTTAATACAGGTGTCGGCAACCTACGGGCCGCGGGCCACACCTGGCCCGCCGACCTCTGCCGCCCCGCAAGTCACGGCCACCATTTTGTTTGCCAAAATGGCAGCTGCGACTCGTTTGAGCATGCGCAGTACTCCTACGCATGTGCGAACGAGCTGCAGCACCATTTTGGAAAACAAAATGGCGGCCGCAACTCAGCGCATGTGCAAACGAGCCATGGCCGCCATTTTGGAAAATAAAATGGCAGCCGCAACTCAGTGCATGCGCAAACGAGTCACGGCCGCCATTTTGTTTTCCAAAATGGTGGTCGTGACTTGTTAGCACATGCGCAGGAGTACTGCGCATGCGCAAACGAGTCATGGCTGCCATTTTGGAAAACAAAATGGCGGTGGCGACACACGTGGCGGCAGCGTGCGCAGCAGTGGTGGGGTTGGTGGCAGCAGCGGAGGACGCACACGCATGAGCACATGCGCGGCACCATTCTTCCCCCCCCCCCCCCCCCCCCCCCCCCCCCCCCGGCACGGCGGAAGACCTGGGAACAGCAACCGGCCCCAGGTAAGTAAATCTTGCTGATTTAATACATCAAGAATTTGTCTTGAAGTCTGCTATCCAACATGGTTAATCTGCTTATGGGAGGTTAATGACAATGGTGGGTGTGGCCAAAATCAACATGGAGCAGGGCCATCATTCTCTCTTTCTGCTAAGTTGTTTTCTCTCACCACTCTGTTTCTGCTACCCTGCCATACTTCCATCATTCATTTTCTGTTTTTATCCCCATTTCCACTCCTGTCCACTCTTTTTACTTTGAGCTCATCTCACATACATAAAATTAGGCCAAGGGTTAACTAGTCTGCCTTTCATATGCAATGTAAAGATGGATTTGAACCAAGTAGTATGGAATATGCTCTACAGAGATTGGAAAAGTGTGAGTGAGTGATCTTAAGCCTAAAAAATATTTTGGGATGCCCTTCTTCTGTTGTTCTTCCTTAGCAAAAAAACAAAACAAAAAAATGAAATGAAACAATTGTTCCTAGTGCATAGGGAAGAAATTCTAGCATCAGCCAGCTGTGTTCTTCTGAAGCATACAAATTCACCTTGCTCGTTGCCTATCCCCCGGCAAAGGAGTACAGATGGCTGCATTAACTATTAGATAGTGTTCATATTCAAAAAATTTGCAAATAAAGCACCCTAAAAATATAAATGAACATAGATCGCGTCCTGTATGTGTGCTTAATGGCTACTAATGTTTATCTTGTTTAGTATAAAATAATGTATTTTTCCGACAAATACCAGTATTTTATAGTGTTGTTTAAATGTAGAATATTGTATTAAAAATACTATTAACACTATGCATCAGCTTTTCCAAACAGACAGCATTTTGGGAGGATTAAAACATAGAGGGGGACATAGTAGAGTGACAATCTGTACCACACTCAGCCTCCACAGCATTGAATAACTGATGCTGTATGGACAATACTGGCACCTATTCAGGCTCTCCAGAAACAAATCTGAATAGTACCTTAAAACCACTATAATGGATGGTGTCTGCAGCAGAGTAAAAAGGTAAAGATTGAAAATGAATAGTTACAATGCTAGACCTGATGAATTGGCATAGTTTCATAAAATAATCGTTTTAATCCAGCTCTAATGCCAAACCATGGTTTCATAGTATGTGAATGAAAAAGCTTTCAGTGATCATCTGCTCCCTACTTTCTTCATATGCAGCATTTCCCTTTCTTCTTTCCAGGTTTGCAGCAAAACAATATTTGCCATTACCTGTCAAAAGCAAACTAGAGTCTGTGCTTATCTTGATTGTAAACCAGAGTTTGATCATAGCTTTGCAATCATTAGAATCATTCATAATAATAAAGAATATTCTCTCCTCTCTGCAAATAGTGCAACTAAGAGATGAACTAAGGGAAAAGGAACCAAAGGAATTACGTATATATTCAGATTGATTCAGTTGTTATTGGACAGTTATATGAATGGTGGCCATCTGTGCCCTAGATTAAGTTTATGTGCCACTAGTTACCAATAAATAGCTTAGAAAGAGAAAATGCAGGAATGAAAAGTCATAAGTTGTTATCATTAAACTTTTCCCAACTGGAGACTTGTTTTCTGATTAGTGCAGAATGCATTGAAATCTATCTGTAGACCATAAGAAAATGTCATTTGAATTCCTAATCTGTAGAACAGTTTACCAGTAAAACTGTTCAGATACTTAGAAATGATAAATTGATATATGATAAATACTGTACATTGGGAGTCTGATTATTTACATGTTCTCTGTGTGCAAACTCTTGGGAAAAGAAAAGGACATAGAATGGTAACATTGTAATTATTTTTGCCTTTTGTGCTGTCATACATCTTTTTAAAGATAACAATTTGTAATGAGAAGGTGGAGCCATCTCCTTAATACTATTATCCTGGAAGGATGCCACTGGCATAAAAAAACATATTTGTTAACCAGTGGCTTTATTGAAGGTTAAAATATTATGTAACATAATTGTGTGCTTAATGCAAATATAAGAGAGATTGTGGAACCATATGTTAGGATATAATTTAAAAATTAGCTCTTTATTAGTGCTGGACCCATACATCTAATGTAATCCGAAAGAGAGCATCCAAGGTATGCATAGCTGAGGCTGGACCACCTCTCAAGGCATCTTGTTATATTTGATCTGATGTGAAGTAAGTTATGATATTAAACTCAAATGTACTTAATAAGTTAAATAGTCAATAATTGTCATTGTTTTCCTTCTCCATTGAGGAGATTAATCCTATAATGGTGGGGGAAGGGGTAGAAAGATAGCAGCATGGTGTAATAGTTTGAGCATTGGACTATGACTCTGAAGACCAGGTTTCCTTCAGCACTTCCTCCATGACTTATTTTGTCATGTATCCAATTTAGCTATACCAGCATTGGAATTCTGACACTGGAGAGGTGTGTACCTGGGAGGGGCTGGGAGAGCGTATGTGAGCTTATATTGTCTCCATGAACAGATCTCCTGATCTTCACTCAGAGCAGAAGAGTAATAACCCAGAGTTAAAGTGTCTGAAATACATATTTCACTGTATATCTAATTATTTTGCTAGCTTAAATTTCCACATCCTTTCACTTTGATAATTTGGCATGTCAGACCTAAAATGATCCTTTTCATTTCTGTCATTACGGATTTCATTGCTGCAACCCAGATCTAAGGCTACTATTCAAAAACTGGTGTTAATCAATGGTACTGAGAACAGGCAGAATCCTATAGGTTCATGATAAGAAAGAGAAATGTCATTACCTGGATTTATTGCAATATATTTATAACAATTTTACTGCATCAAATTTATTTACTTGTATTCAAATATTCATCCTTCATTACATCTCAGTACTTTACACAGTAATGAGACATCTTCTTATTTTATTGATTGGTTTTTTAAATCAGAGCCAATAGTATCCTGAACTTTCCTACTTCCTGAAGTTGGAAGACCAGTTATTAAAAATGTTGATCTTATTATTACAGTCCCTCCTTATTGGCAGACTTTCCATCCTCTGATTTAACCATCCATGGATGGCAAGCCCCCGTTTTGGTTAATGGTGACACATGACTGCACTTGCAGGTGCATACATGCTGTGCCACAATTACTTTTAATGGGACTTGAGCATGCATGGATTTTCGTATCCACAGGGGAGGTCCGGAATGGATCACCCACAAATATGGAGATCCAACTGTAATCTGCTTGGTTACACACCTAATGCCATTTACTCATAATTTGCCCACAATTTAATGGGTTCTTTTATTTGATTCACAATATAAGTTTAATCTCTAGCTTTGCTGATATGGAGACTGTCATGTTACTTGGTCCCTCTGTGCCAAACTGACATGAATCATTTGCTGAGTACCTGGCTTCTATAGTGTGGAGAGGCATTAGGCAGAATTGATTTCCCCAACAGCCAGTTCTGGTTCGGGCTTGCTGTAAAGGAGGGGCTATTGTGGGAGTAGTGACTATAAAAAGGGAGGAGTGACTCAGAGTCAAGAGAGAGTGTGTCAGTATAAGAGTCAGTTCAGAGCTGTTCCGTTCTGAGAATTGTCAGTTAGGTTTCAGGCCAACTACAAGGTTGTCAGCTCAATCCCAGCCAGGGGTTCCAGGGTCAACTCAGCCCTGCATCCTTCCGAGGTCACTAAAAATTAGTACCCACCTTGTTGGGGGCAGTTGCCTTACACATTGTAAACAGCTTTGGGAG